CATCACTCGCTGCGCGTTTTTGTTTCCTGATGCGCTTTCGCTGTCGCAATGACATTGCTACCTGCCACTGACCATTCTCGGCTTCGTCGTCGCGTTCCTCCGCAGTGTCTTTTTCCTTGTTCTCGGCATCGCTAGTAGATTCCCCTTGTAGCACCTCGTCAGGTGAAAGGAAATTTTCGTTGGCGTCTACCGCAGAGTTCACTTGGGTTTCGATGTCTTGGTCATCCATATCCATAAGTGCCTGGGCTAGTTCTGGGTCGTTGTCCGTTGGGGTTCGGGCAGGGGCAGCTTTTTTTTGTCCGTTGGGGTTCGGGCAGGGGCAGCACGACGCGTGGGCCGAGAGCTGGCTGCCAGGACTCCGCGTTCCGCTTCGCCGCGAGGCTTAGCGTGGCGGGTTGGCATGTTCTGCCGAAGGTCTTCACTTCTCAGAGGAAACCGGGATCGCTTGTCCAAAAAGGTGGTGTCAGCGTGTACCTGACGTCTCCCTGCACAATTCCCGTAGTTTCACTGGTAGTCACATGATTTTAACCGCTGCTAGGTACAATGATTGACGGAGCCGATGTGAACATGTGTGCACTCCTCGGCGCCACCTAGCGGTCTCCTCAGCTGTGGAGATGGTGAATATTTCATGGGTGGCGGTGACGGCTACATGCGCGCGAAACTGTTTTCGTGAGGCCAACTTTTTCGACGTCAGGCCCGATGCCGAGCCTGAAGCTTCCGAACAGGAGCACTGCGGCAGCGATTTGTGGCAGCGCGTCGTCGACTTTAACCTGGCAGAGCGGTTGAAAGATCGGTTGCGATGGTTTAATTACGGCCGATGATGATGCCCACACTGTGGAACCGTGCACGGATTGGGGCATTGTGAATGAAGCACGTGGCGAGAGCGATTTGAAGGAATCGGATTGCGAGAACGACGAAACTTTGGAGCCAGTGCCTCATGCAGCTTATGCCACTGGCCTCGGCGAACGAGCACCCTACTGTTTTAAATGAGCTCGAGACCGCCTTTATCGCTTCTGCTCTTCGAAACACGTGCATCACAGACTTTTTAGAGCAAAAAAAATTTGTTTTCACTCGCATTTTTTTTTTAAATCTGTGTTTCATTTACTACCAACTTCTGGATACAGCGAACGGATGCCACGTCATGGTCAGGTTCGTTACAAGCAGGCTCGACTGTAAATATAGAAAAAAAAAAGTCCAAGGAATTTTCAATCACACAACAAATCACACTGCCAACATCTAAAAAGTCTTCGGTGCAGCCTATACACGGGTAACAATTAACTATATTTTGGGATGGAGGGATTTCCTTTACAAAGGTCTTGGTGGGTGTGACCCTGATACAAATATATACCGTATTCACTCGCATAATGAACATACTTTTTTCTCGAAAAATCTGAGCAAAGTTGGGGGTGCATTTATTATCAGGGGCAAATTCTATGAAAACTTTATAGGGAAGAGCAAAAAAATGTGGTTATGCAAACAAAAGACTAGGTCGCTTAGCCTTTTGCAAGTAACATTGTGTACGCTATTTGTAAAGTTGGAAACAGCTGCTTCGTTGCACTTCACTTATCTTTGGTAGTCAATGGCGCAACGTTCTGCAAGCTGTCCCCATGCCGGTCGTGCATGCCATAAAAGCATTTCACGGCTATCTTTCCTCGCAATCGTTTAACCACAACAGTAGTACCTGCTGTGATCTCAAGGGGCGCTCAGAAGCGTGGGCTACGGCACACTTTGCGAACTTCGCGGCAACCTTGCACGACGACCGCGCCACCGCCGTTGTTATTGTAGCAAGTAACATTATAGCAAGCTACCACTGAAGCATCAAAGCAAACCGTCGACGATAAGATTAACAACAAAATACGGCCGCCGCCTCGCTGCCCACATGAGTAGTTATTGTAAAAAGTTAGCCTATATCTTGCTTTCCTTGAAGTACGCATGGATAACAAGCACGAAGAGCAAATTGCAACTGAAGGAAGAATCGGGGGTGCTACCATGTTGTGGAAAGTCACGATCTCTTCTGGGCGACAAGCAGTCTTTTTCTCTGGTTTTCCGGAAACGATGAATGGCCCTTCGCGACAGCCATGGCGACGGCAAATCCTGTCACAGTCGCTCGAAAATCGCGTGCGTGCGGGTGGACCTTAAAGTTTCGTATTTGCAGGAAATGACTGTTGCGTCAGTTGGGTGCGGGCAGTTTCGTGACCTTCACTTGCCGTGTGCCTCTCAGCTGCGATGTCTCTACACTCGAATCGTTCTTGAACGCCGCTGTGGTGCGTAGATAATAAAAAAGACAGGAGGCGTGCTGCGCACAATTAGAAAGAAAAACAATACAGCAGCAGGTGAAGGAGGGGAGGGAGTTAGTCGAGGTGGCCGGGGGGGGGGGGGGGGGGGTCGGCATAATAATAAAAAATGGAAGAGATCCAACGAGCAAGGAGGCACCAGGTGTCTGTTAGCGGGACTGCAGCGGACGATTGTAGGGGGTGCGCTTATTACGCAGGAGAAAAAACAAACATCCAAATTTGACGACTGAAGTTGGGGGTGCATTTATTATGCGAGTGCGTTCATTACGCGAGTAACTATGGTATGTATATAGCAAATAAGAGAGCATAACGGCAGAAGCTGTATGTTTAGCAGAAATAGTAGCTTATTGATTATTTTGTATTGTGTTTTAGTGCATCATGTAATCGATTCACTTGCCTTGAAATACAAAAGGGCTTGATTTTTGAAGTGATACATGTGCTTTATAAAAGTTTTTGTTATACTGTACGTATGGTTGGTATTAAAGAATGCGAGAAGGGGAATGGATCAAGGGCTCGTTTTCTTTGTTAGACACAACCTAATGCACCCAACAGACAATGAAGCCAAGGAAGGCATAGGGGAAATCATATTTGTAGTATGTAACTATGGTGTTGTAACTATGACATAAAATGGAAAATAATAAGAGAGAATGAAAAAAGAATTCGCTCTTGATTGAACGTGCAGGCTAATGTGTCTGATGCTGTACAAGATGAGCTACGGCAATGGTCATTCTACTGTTCACTTTTTGGGTATTTCTGTGCATGTAATGTAGGAAGTGTCAGCCAGCACCACTTGTAGCCATGGTGGTGAATGTGAAACACTCTGTCTTGCTAGTTGGTGGCTCGAAGCGCGTGAACTTTTTAAGACCTCACCACTGGCCAATAAACCCTTGCATGCTACCTAATTGCATCAAGTCTGCCAGTACCAGGCCCTTGATATGAAAGAACTAAAGAAGAGGCATGGATCAAGAGCTCATTTTCTGTTAGGTGTAATCTAATGAAGCTTACAGCCAACGAAGCAAGGAAGGCATAAGGAAAAAAATATTTGTAGTTTTTAGGTGTAGTGTGATAATTATAACATACACAGAAATAAGTCAAATAGAAAAAAAAAGACAACTTGCTGTTGATAGGGGCCAAACCTACAACCTTCAGATAATGTGTATGCACTGTAATTCTTGTGTCTTTTTGTGAACAGGGGAATAACTTAGGCTTTGGCTCCATTGCCCGCCATATGGCATTTTGAGGCAAGAAAGTGTGTTCCACGCTTCCTGCATTGGCTATGAGTAGCATATACTTACAATCCCAGGATTAGTCACACAAAAATACCTAAAATAAAAAAAGTGAATGGGGAAGTGCCCACCATCATAGGTAGAGCATCAGGCATGTAATGCAAAGGTTATGGGTTCAGGCCCCCATTTATATCATAATCACCAGTTTCATTGCAAAAACAAAACAACGAACGACTTAGTAATAAATTAGAATTCTATATGAGGTATGGCCTAGCAGCTCACTCTTTTAGCATTTAATCTCGCATAACTCAACAAAATGCTCTCATCGGGGAATAAGGCAACTCCAGCTGGCGAAGTGACTTTTGTTCTGACTACGGCTTCAACACAAACATTATGATAAAAGCACACCATACACACATGGTATGAATTGGTGCACAAAGGTATAAATTGTTTGCTGATGCCTTTCTAAAGATATACTGTGCACAGGGCTTTGAGTGACAACACCCTACCAGTCAAGGTGCGCATTTATTGCTGGAATCATGCAGCCCTCACCTCAGGCATCTATGTGCAATGGAGACGGTGGGCATGTTTTTTATTATGCTTGAGCTCCATTTGCCTGCAACTCTCATTGGCCTTCGCTTGCACATAGAACATACAATGCGTCGGGCATGCACCTTCTGCATGCACTTTTCACATGATGGAGGCAGTCTACATGGTTCGTTCTTACTGAAGTTGTGTTTGTCAGTAGCACTTGCGTGCTTTCACTTGTACGTACAGCATATGATGTGCAAGGCAATGTTATTTATTCGGACTTATATGGAACATGACTGCAGAAATCTAGTGAGAGTTATCGTATAATTACTATCACAATAAGACAAAATGTCCCCTATGCTTTCTTTAGCTTCATAGTCTGTTGGCTTCATCAGGTTGTGTTTAACAAAGAAATGAGCCCCTTGAGCCATTCTTTTTCTTTCATTCATCTTGTTTTTATGGCACTTTACTGCCACTTTATACTTGTGTGCATAATGCTGATAGTATTGTGGGTCAAAAAATGGAGGAAGCTTTATTTATTTATTTATTTATAAATACTACAATCTTTCTTCAATATTTTGGCAGTGTGTTACATAACAGGTGAACTCAACAGAAAAATAACAATTGGAAACGAACGAATGAATATCTTTATACTTGCGCTTTCAAAAAAAAAAAAGGGCAAGCAATGTTACTCTAACAAATTTCAAATCGAACAGAGAATCTGTTAGCACAACTAAAAAAAAAGAAAAAAAAAACACATGAAACATCTTAGCAAGACAAGAAAACTGCTTGCTACTGAAGGTGTGACTCGAATTGCGATAGTGAGTCCTGTGTAACAGTATTATCGGGCAGTTTGTGCCAATTCACTATCGTTCAAGAAAAGAAAGCTTGAAATGAGTAGTGAGCATGCCAGTATTCATATGATTTTTTTTTTTTTTTCATTTTACAGATGCATGTACCACCCAAACAAATTTGCCAAGTAGTATAAATCTAACTCATGCAGAAATACAATGTCTTCTCAAGAAAAAGTGCATATTTCGTGAAGCATATGGTAAGTGACACTTGCGTATAATTCTTCATATTTATTCATTTGCATGAATTATCCATGCATTGATACGATCTGAGGGTTTAACCTATTTGAAATGATCTAGTTATAGTTATGTGTATGAACTGAATATCTATATTAAGGAATGATTATTCTACCTAGTTGCCTTAGTTACCTCAGAAAAATGGCCACTTATTACCGGTAACATCGTCACTAGTGTTTTACAACGATCTTACCATCTTGTCATCTGCAGATGAAATGTATTACTGATGCATGACTGTCAAAATTGTATCCATAGGTGTCTCATCATTGGTCATCAACTTTTAAAAAGCCAACATGCACTGTAGTAGAGAGCGTTATTTATGATGCTCTAAAATAGACTGCTTTCATGTTCAGTGCCCTTTATCTTCTTTTTTTTTTTTTAACCCTCTTTACTAACTGGTGGAATACTGTATGTGTGGAAATTTGGTAAGGCTGTGTCACTATTTAAATTTGTTAATAGAAACATAACAGCTGTCGTTCAACCAGTGTCACGCAAACTTCTTAGGCATGTCATTGCCTCTGACATAGCTCAGCTTTTCATAAATTAGTTTTTTTTCCTATCGAAATCAACTTGAATGTAGCAAAATATTTCTTTTGAAACAGCGTGCACATAATTCACTGATGACATTCATATACAGTGGCAATCGAAAGAAGTGTTAACACAGTGGCATCTACATTCTCTGCTATTTCACATATATCTTCAAGTGCTTGCAGCCTGGATAACAATAAAAAAAATTGGGGGGACCTCTAAAGGGACACTAAAGGCGACTATTAAGTTGACGTTGATTGTTGAAATAGCGGTCCGAAAACCTCGTAGTGTTACTTTTGTACCAAGGAAGGGCCGATTTTGAAAATAAAATTACGTTTTAGTGGTCCGCATAGGGTTAGCACATTTCAAAGTACCCGCCCCAAGAAGCGGACCGACCGGATCGATTCACGTCACTGTTGCCGTGCACAATGTTGCCCGACTTTACTGCGCTGGTAGCAGCAGACTTAAAGCAGCGGGAGCCACAGCAGCAACAACGACCATTGATCAATTTCTTGCCATTGGCTTTGAGACTGCAAACCATTTTTTGTTTCAGCTGCACCCCGCTAGATGGCACCACCTGTCCTGTGTAACCATGCAAAAATTGAATTTTTGAACCACTCGCGCCATTCCCCGTAGTAATGTCTGGCGGTTTTTTTTTCCATGAACCAAAGAGAAACGAACAAGCAGCATTTTATTGCATCTCTTGATGTATGGAAGGTTCTTTATTTAGTGCTGTCAGATTGATTACTAGTGAATAATTGTAGGCTGTCCTTCTGATGTCATTGGGATCATTTTGAAAACGTCCTACTGCGGCGCTTGTGTTCTTGTGCATTTACCTTAATTTCTCGGTAAGGAGGGCACTGTTGTTGATAATATTGTCGTTTTAGAGGTCGTACATTGAGTGTTTACTTTGACGTAAATTGTTATTTGACTTTTGTTGTCCCTTTAAGCTTCGCCTTTAAGATTTGAACATGATAGCAACATCCTGTCCGTAGTGTGTACTTCAATCACTTAGTGCATGAAATCTTTTCGAACTTGCTATACACCCACTATGTGGCCTTAAGGGAATAGTTGTAGTAACGTGTGTGCCTTGCATAGTGGGTGACTGGCTTTAAACCATGAAGTCATTCTGACAATCACATGTTCTGACGCCTGACCACGCATTATTGCTGCAATAGTTCATGTTGTGTTAAGAAGAATTTGCACAGGACTCGTGTGTTTGTAAAGCATGAAAGGTACTTTCACTGCATTTCCTAGCAGAGGGGAATATTTTCACTGTATTCACAAGCAGACGCGTGACTGTGTGGTAGAACACCCGCTTGCCATGCAAACGACCTAGGTTCAATCTCCACTTCGACCCAGAATTTTGTATTATTTATTTTATTGGCATCTTTATTGATTTTTTGGTCACGCACAAGATGATTATTTTTCGCTCACAACCAATGATATCGACGCCGACACCGACGCCGGAATTTCTGCGAAACGAGCTCTTTGACGTATCGTGTTAAAAGCCACTACAGTCATCTACGATACAATCAAGAACCATTTTAGCATCTTTTATTGCTACCAAGGACAGAGCTTTGACCGCTGTTCGCGTTTCTTTCCATTCTCTGTGTGCATCTGCAAGGCATTATATTTTTGTATATGATGCACATTGCTTTTCAAAAGCTTTGAAATATGTCACTTATGGTTGACTGTTTGCTGAAAGTTTTTGCTTAATATAAATTCTTCACAAAGCATCATTTTGGTTGAAAAACTTCTGTTCATTCTGGCAGTGGTAGCGTAGTATTAATTTTTTCTTCATCTCCCCTCAGTGAGGTAGATTGCATTATCTATGGTGCCTTAAAATAGACTGCTTCTATGTTCGGTGCCCTTTATCACCTTTTTTTAGTCCTCTTTACTAACTGGTGGAATACTGTATGTTTGAGTTAGAATGCTACCCCAAAGTAGCTTCTGTTTCTTATTCGTGTTAACAAACTACTTTCCCCTACTTCTCGGTAATCAACTCAAGAGAAAGGTGCCGCTGAGGGTAAAGATCATTACTTTATTCGAAGAACTTGCTGTTGGGCTAGTTGGTACATGTCTGAATTAAATAGTCAGCGTCACGCCAAAATCACAACCACACAAAAGAAGCAAACACATAGACAGGGTGGGCGCTTGTCCTGTCTATGTTTTTTTCTTCCGTGTGGTTGTGATTTTGGCGTGAAGTTGACTATTTAATTCATTACTTTACATTTATATCCACATTAAGTGACTACATTTGCCTCTTTAAACATCAGTCAGTTATAAAATAAAGATTGTATTGAAAGGTGACGTGGTTAGCCATTGAACTAAATTTGAAGTAATTTAAGTGATTGTCACTGCCATGTTAAATAGACATAAGGTGCATTCATTTCACTTTCACTTTGTGAACTAGTTCGCAGTGCAATGCTGCTGGCATTTGTTTTGCAATTTCAACATGGTGGTGTTGGCATTGTGGTATTTGTTTTGGAAAAGTGTAGGCATCTACAAGCCTAATTCACCAATTTCCTGCACCTTTTTTGTCGTAGTGCTGAGTTGGTGCAGCACAAGATGGCTGAAACTACAGTAGATGATGAAGCTACTGTATTCATATCTATTGTAACAGGGTCCAACAAGTATATCAGTGAACTTTTTATTGCGATAGCAATTATATGGATACCCTCGGCTGGACTTTGCCGCCAGTGTCGACGTCGGCGTCACTCACCTTATATGTATACATATCTATCTGTATATATGAAAACGCAAGAAAGAAAAATAATTCAGAAAAAAGCTCTGGCGTGCGGAATCGAACGTGTGACCTCTGAAGTGTGAGTGTGAGGCGACAAAGAAGCACCATTGAGCGACAAAGAAGCACCTCCTTCAACGCACAAAAATACCTAGTTACATGTAACTGGTGCTTGGAATGGCAAGCTATTTATATCTACTACTTACCGCTGGTGACAGGCATCTCAGGGGGAACTATCGTGTTTTCAGCAATACCAGCAGAGTGGCGCAATCAACGCGAGTACGACGCGGCGGCACGCGCTCTCATCTCCCACGCGTACTTTGCCTCGCGGAGAGAGAAAGCGGGGTGGACGCTAACGTGCAGGCTTATCTCGCAGTGGGGACAATCATATGTCTTGGCTGGCCTTGGGCTTTCACTAAACGATTTGTTGTAGTTACCAAGCACACAAAGGTCGCTGCAATCGTTGCACAGTCTCCATTTGCAAAAAGGGTGCGCTTTTCATACACAGCGAAGTAATAACTGCGACGCTTATTCGCATTCATTTGTACCTGTGAGTACATTTCGTGCGTCATTTGTGCGTGAGAAGCACAGGGCACATTTCAATCTGCCTGCCATTCTGCACGTGACCTTCCAATTTGTTGCTATCACGTCCATTGCTCCGCCTTTGTGCCAAAGCTGTGACTTTTTGTGGTAGTTGCAAATGGTTGCAAATGGAGCTTGGCAACGTAAGCGGCACTGACTTTCAGGATTCACAACCACCACAACTCAAGATACAATTCATCATATCAGGGAGCTTGCATGACATCTGCACTCTTACATTCGTTTTGACATCGCATTGCTGCTGACTTGCTGAAACGTTTTTTGTATAATAATGACTGACACCCAGAGAGCACTGCCACGGACCAGTTCAGGTAGTGCAGGGGCCATTGAATGGACCTATAATACAAATAGAGCAAAGAAGCTTCCCATAGTAGTTATTGAAGATTTTAACACGTCAGGAGGTCATAACGTCAGGAAATTTGTACTTAGTGGGGTTTACAGTATAGCTTCGCTTCTTTCAGTAACAGAAAATATAGTCGCATTTCATACAAAGTTAAGCAGACTGCGACCAACATCTGTTAGTGTCTCGAAGGGAGCTCCGGAATCTATTTTTTGTGCTATTGCAAGAGTGTAAAGATCACCACAGAACTTCTTTTTTTTTTACAGCGAAAGCTATTCACAACAAGGGTCGCATGCGTGCCGTAATTGTCTGCCGCCGCTCTTGTCCATAACCACTATCACATGAAATAAAAAAAAAACTTATAATAAAAAAACACCAAGGACGCAATGGGATTGATGCCAGTATTCTACCACTGAGCCATGCCGGTGCTTGAAACGCCTTTGCAAACTTGCCTTGGGCAGGCTTGATGTCGGCAAAGGAATGGCACTAATATGAGTAATAAAACATTTTAGAATAGCAAAGGAATAACCTGGTGTCATATAATGCGAATTGCACAACGAGTGGTTCGTCGAATGCTCCAACCCTTTAAGAAAGCTTGATCTTGTTCACCTATTAACTGTGGCGCATACCCACTGTGGGAGATTACAAAAGCTTCTGGCATAATTTTTTATTGTTGTCAGCCACAGCACTAAAAAATTGCACAAAGCTCATTGCAAATGTGCAGCAGGTACCACGCTTTTCCGAAGAATGTCGAAGGATGGCATAGTGAATGCCTGCCTACTACACAATGAATAATGGCGTGGTGGGTACCCCCTATATGTGCTTGCAGCAGCTACCCAAAGAGGGTAAAAAAGAGGCTCTGAAGGGCCGCTCTTCCAGCTTTCGCTGTGACAGTGCTGCGCGTTAAGCGCAGACCTAGCGGCTTTTTCTCTTTTTTTTTTGTAGCTTTATGTTTAGTCACGATAGAGCTATTCATGTGCATTATTTTTAATTGTTTTGTTGTTTTGTCAGGCTTTCTTAATTAACTTATGTTTCAGCTTATTATCTTTGGTTGATTGCTGCTATCTTTTCTACCATCTTTGATAAATAAGCCCCCCTTTTTTTTCAAAGTTTTCTTTTCAAAACAGGTTTTGTATTCATTGATTTCTTTTCCAGTGACAGTTTGCTCTTCACTGGATATTTTCTGAGACAGCCTTTTCCTCTCCCTCTCTTCTTCACATGTCCTGCTTTTTGTTAAAATTTCACCCGATTGATGTTGCCTATTTAAAACATCAGCATTCTTTACCATTTCTTTTTTGTTACATCACCCCCCCCCCCCCCCCCATCAAGGAAAACTTGTAGAGTCTTTACTTCTCCACTCCTCTCCACTATTCCAATTAATCCCCCACTTTCGGATGCGTCTGCTTCCATAGTGCTCGCTTTACTTTATGTATCTGCTGATGTACTTTCTTTTTGCCGTGGTGGTGGGAGGGAGCCACATGCGCAAACACCCCCAAGCAAAGCACTTGTTCTGATTATGACATCTCTTTTTTGAAATGTTGGCACCACAATAAGGCTTCACTTGTCACTCATAATTGATTAATTCAAACAGCTATAATTCTATACAGCTTCAATATCTTTGGATCTTATTTTTCAAGCTTGAGGAACAGTACAGGTTGCTTTTTAGACAATACATACTTCTAAATAAAGATTTTATGATAGTTGGGCTCCTGTCATTTTTGTACATGAACATTACACCATAGTAGAAATATATTGCTGTGAAAAATGACATTTTCATGTCTAGTTAACAAAACTTGTTAATTAACATTTTAATTATTGACTTGAGAGCATCTGTTTATTAAAAAAAATAGTGGTGTGGGCCAATTTATGGCATAGCCACTTTTTAGAGTTTACAAAAGTTGCATGTAACTCGAGATATTCATTATAAAATTTTAAGGGCAATATCGAAACTGATGGCACTCGGCACCCAGGAAATGCGACCTCTCTGTTGCAAGATACCGAAAGCACACTTGAAAAGGAAGTGACGAAATTTGAAGGTGTGCCAAACCAGAATGTGGTCAGGAAAATCGGCAATCATTCCGAGATACACAAGTAGGCAGCTTATTCTTTGAACGTGATGTGTGCTGCTTATTTGGTTTGTTCTTACACTATAAACAGGCACGAAAAACTATTCCACCTGTATGCAAGAAAGAGCACCACACTGTCTGGCCCTATGTTTTATGCTTCACAGAGAAAGAAAAAGTTGATATTACGGTTTTCTTTTGCACAGCTTTAAAGAAACTGATAAGCTCCAAGCACTATGTGCAAATGTAAAACAATCTGCCTGTGAAAGTGAGATAACCTGCCACTTTTTATGAAAAGGTATGGCCACGACATGCCTTCGTTCAAATTTTGTCACTTTTTCGTCACAGTTTGTTCCAGTCTGACGTAACAAGGTTGTCCCATTCTTTCACAATCATTTTCGATATCGCCCTTAAAATTTGATGATGAATATCTTGAATCACATCCAACTTCTGTGATTTTTTAAAAAATGGGTATGCCATAAATTGTTAGGCACTACAATTATTTTGTACAAACAACTGCCCTCAAGTGAATAATTGAAAGGTCAATTAACAAGTCTTGTTAATTAGTCAAAACAGTGTCTTTTCATCTGGGGCAAAGTATTTCCAGCTCGACGTAAACTGCGTGTGAGGAAATTAGAGGCATTTTACTGTCGTAGGTTTTTTATTTTAAAAATCTGTATTTAAAAAAAAAACTATAACTAATATCAATCATCAGTCTCATTTTTGTCCTCTTCTTGGCTGCCTTTTCAGTAAATGATGTTATTATTTCAACTATTTTCTCTGTATTGCACATATGTTCTTTCTTGTGTTTCTCAGGATGCTTCTTCATATTTTTATGGCTCTTTAATTTGGAACGTTCATAATATACTTGTTTCCAGGATGTGACATTAGACTTGAAAAGATACTAAGGGTGTATATAAAAGAAATATTCATTTATAGGTTGACGATGTGCATTAGTGAGTATCTGTGCAATGGTCTCAGTACAAGTCATGTTACCGACTCAGCCATGAAGTGTTTGAAACAGCACACATGTATTATGCCAGGTGCCCCCTTATATGAGTATAAGGAAAAATTAAGTATTAAATGGGCAACTCTTGACTGGAACCAGAAGAACAAACTGAACTGCTTTGTTAGCCATTTTGATATTGTGGGCATTGCAGAATGTATTAATGTTTTCATTTATTTGCATTGTTTCACCTAACGTGTGTAATACTATTACTATTACCTAGAATATCCTCCCGATGGAGGAATCTGCCGCTACCTGTTGGGCCTGCTTTCTGCATAGCTGATGATATCACAAAAAAGGGAGCAAGGAACTTTTTGCTTCTTGGCTTGAGATTGTATGTAAAGTTTCTGTTGAATGTAGTGCTTTAACTTCTGGCTCAGATGTTCATGGGGCCCTATCTACAGATTGGTAATAATCTTTTAAAAACTTGAAGGATGCTTGAGATTTGCCTTCAGGAGTAGAATGGAATAGTGTAGTCAGGCCCCATGCACATCACCATCTCAATCGCTAGACTGGCTTTGGTTATCGGTGCATGGCTTAACCGTGCCACAATGAAACGAACGACTGTGTGCATAGCATTGGCTCTTTCAAACTATCCTAGAATGTCTACTGCAAGTACAGTTGTGAAGTGCCCACTGTGCTATAGTTCTTCCTTTTGTGAATCAGCGAAGAGCCCACCACACGTCCAAAAGGCAACACACTAACCTACGCAGCTGCTTACTTTGTTGATGCCTTTGCAGCAGATGATGAATCAATATGTCTGAGCACTTTCTAATGAGTGGGCCTTTGAAACACCAACTCGTTGCACAATTCACATGCTTTGATGCCTGGTGTGATTCTACTCTTCTGCTACGCAATATTACACGTGTTGAGGCTCCTTCGATTACATGGTATTCTTATTGTGTATTTTTCCGAAGTAATTTCTGGCTTTGTGGTAGAACGCCTGCTTGCTATGCAGATGGCCTAGATTCAATTCTTACTCTAACCAAAAATTTTGATTATTCATTTTATTTGCGTCCTTTTTGATTTTTCAATCATGGACAAGATGATGATTTTTCACTGTCAGCCAACGATGCCGATGCAGACACCATAATTTCTGCTAAACGAGCTGTTTAATGCAATCACGTTAATATGCTCAAAAGTTGTGTCAGGGACCCTTGAAGGAATGGAAGCATTTGAAGGCATAGTCTGGCTTGTTATTTATAAAAAGCGATAATAACTGAATGGTTGTTGCTGGTGAGCCTATACTTCCACATTGGATAATCGAGTGTGTGCTTTTGCTCTTTTGTGTGTTAAATTTAATTATTGAGTTCAGTATTAGCAGGTTTTCATATCTATAAGCTCATGTACAGCCAGGAAGACAGCAGTTGACAAAAACTATTTACTCTTGGATTTCTGAGATAGAAGTTCTCATGCAGTCTGTTACATCGTCACCTTCTTTTGTATATTTATTTATAAGAAGCTAACTGTGATCCTGAATGAACAATAAACTCAAACTGTGCTCAAAGGCTTGAACATTTGCAAAGCCTGCATTTTGTTTTTGCACACAGACTGTAATCATTAGAAGTAAATTCCTAGAGCTTGCCTGATATTAATTTTACATTAATATCAGTGCGGTAACCATTGCTCATTTTTTGTGTTTTTTGAAGTTGCCAGTCGTTAGTTTATTTCTTATAGAAGAAATTTGTTGTTTGATTATTATGTGTATTGGTCAAACCAGGTGTGCCCGTTCACTGTAGCGAATTGGTCCTGCTGGATGCTGAAAAATGGAGTTCTGAGTGCCGGAAAGTTGCATCTCAGTTTCCTGAGTGTTCCCTTGCTGAGCTTTTAATGCCACACTTCTGCCTTGTGAGTACTGTGTTCATGTTTTTTTTATAACTCTGTGCTTTGCATCTTATTAAAAATAATTTAGTTTCACTTTCATTAGAAAATACTGCTCATCTCAGTGACTGTGCAATGATTAGTCATGCTTTCCACATAACTTTGATGCATTGTATAAAAGTTTGCTACAGGGATACTGTACTTAGGTTTTCTAGTTGCATTAAAGTTTTTGCATTGACCTGTACAAACTCATGGAAGTTTAAGAATATACTGCCATTTTCAACTGTAATCATTTGGCACTCTTCTTGCGGGAGAAGTGCTCATATATGGCTGCACAGGGCCCTTTTCACTCTTGTAATTCTCTTGAGAGGAAAGAATGTAGCAACATCAATTTCTCTTTCTCAAGTGAGACAAATCAGCTTCATTGCTGTTTTCGGAATGATGACTTGGCAGTAAATTCCTTCAGTTTCAACCAGCTTAGTATACTTTCTGATGCACTGTACTGTGTGGCACAAAAAAAAAATGAAGGAAAGGTAATAATAACGGGCATAAAATACCAAAAATAGCTGCAAGTTATGACTCATGTATGAGCACTTTGAATGTGGTAGCTGTGTAAGCACTGTAATGATAAAACAGTCTATCTTTCAAACGTCAGTAATTTAAAGTGAAATGACCTGCTTTACATTGCATAGAAGAGCATAGGAATTCCCTTTTCACCAAGTTATAGAGCAGGATCACGTGTCAAGCTCTAAAATATCTTATTTCTTAGCATTGTCTGAGCCCGTGCTAAGTGCTTTCTTTTAGGGTTTCTGAAGCATCCTCAAAGTGAAAAAAAGTTTTATGTTTTGTGTCTTGTATATTCTTCATTTGAGATTGGTGCACATGTTTTCTTGTGTGAATCAGGCATGAAAAAAGCTCTGAAATCGACACTGTGAAGTGATGGTGTGTTTTACTGCCCTAATTTACAAGCTTGGTAACTGGGTATCCCTCTAACAGCTTGTTTCTCGGTGCTATAGGCGCAGCTGCTTGTGACATCACAGTCAGAGCTATGAAAATTAAAGACCAGGAAAAATTACCAAATTCATGTGGGTTCAAACCAAGAGCTCCTTTACATAAAAGTGTGTGATTGAGCATGTTCTATAACTGCACATTGTTCCTAATGAAGAAAAGATCTAAAGCGCTTAAAAAAATAATAATGCCCCACCGCGGTGGCCTAGTGGCTAAGGTACTCGGCTGCTGACCCGCAGGTCGCGGAATCGAATCCTGGCTGGGGAAGCTGCATTTTCAATGGAGGTAAAAATGCTGTTGGCCCGTGTGCTCAGATTTGGGTGGACGTTAAAGAACCCGAGGTGGTTGAAATTTCTGGAGCCTACCACTATTGGCATCTCTCATAATCATATGGTGGTTTTGGGACATTAAACCCCACATAATATCAATCATCAATGCTTTAAATATAATAATAATTATTGTTGGGATGTTACGTTTATGTCCCAAAACCATGACATGATTATGGGGGATGTTGTAGTGGAGTGCTCCAGAAATTTTGACCATTAGGTGTTCTTTAGCATGCACCTAAATCTACTCATGGATCTAAACGAGACATGAAATTTGTTCAGTATAATGACTGCTATGCACAACTGCTCAACATAACCATGTCATGTTGCGGCAAATCTGGTCTGTAAGGATAACGTTGGCTCTGTTCTACGCATTCGAGTCAAAATTATGCCGACATGACCCAAACTGAACACTGTGCATTGCTTTAGCCCTAAATTGTCGTGTTTCAATCAGTGCGTATCGTACACGGGCCTCTAGAATTTTACTTTTATCGATGTTCAGCCGCCGCAGTCGGGATTCAGTCAGCAGTTGAGTACCCTAACTAGTAGGCCACAGTGGCGGGTATATGCTCCTAGAATAGCTTTAATGGGGTGTTATCTGAAAATACGAAATTCTTTCTTTTGGTGACTTAAATTACGTATGGATTAAAAGTGACTAAGGCCCAAATGAGATACGAACATTGCACCTTTGTTCTGACATCTTTTGAAGGAAGAAAGAATGTGATTTAGTTTTATTTTTTGGCAATGCTTTGTTGTGTATATCCATACCATGCACCTTATTGAGTGCCCGATTTCGTGGTGTGCTCTTTAGCCGTTTACGTCATATAACTAGCTCCTGGAGCATGTGCTGTATGTTTTGAATCATGTGTATCATGATAAATCTAAATTTTAAACATGATTACACCCACTGTGGTAGCTTAGCACATAAGATGCACAGCTAACCTTGAGGGAAGCGGTTCAATTCTGTTTGCAGCAATCACATTTCAATGAAAACAAAGTGCTAGAGGCCTAAGTACTAAATGATGTCGGTGCATGTTAACTCTTTCATTACCACACCTATTCAAATCGATCACCGGTGATCAGCACTTTGGATTGTTGATTTTGGCATGTGGAATTTGTTTCTCGTGCACCCAGGACTTTCTAGTGGTTAGTATAGCCACTGAACTTGCAGAATCAATTTGGATTCGCCTGTTTTGGCAACATAGTGATTTTTTACAGATGTTTGCATGAGCCAATGTTCGTGTGTTATTGGGAAAATGCACTTGGCTGGTGAACTTGCAAAAAGTGCGTGCCCCTCGTGGTTATGCTACATTACAATCAAGGTTCTGTAATGAAAACAACCTTGCAAGACAAATATCAAATCAAAGTGTCAGCTTCGCAATCTGCAGTGCTCAGCAGTAATAATTGCCAGAAATTTATGGAAACTATTCAATAGAAAGCTGTTGCTGGGCGTCAGGGGAAATTTATTGTACAAAAAAATATTTCTGAAGGTTTCTGGACTTGGGAACTTTCCCACCTTAGGGTGACACCGGGCATCGCTCAAAACACTGTTTCGAAATGAACAATTATTTCTCTCTCTCTCTCTGCCACGTGTATAAAGTGTGGAGATGGCCCTCTCAGCCAGTTTTCAGCAGCTTTGGTTTCGCCTGTATCGTGACATCAGACACAGGCCCGCATTTAGTGTCACTAGTTGCTCCTATCATGTTGTCTTCATGCGCGCATGGGTGTGCACCTGCACTGCAAAAAACACGTGCCTCTCGAGACTGTCTTGAAACTGCACCTGAGGAAGAGCTTAGAGTCCGAGGATGACAGCACCTCAGCTTCAAGTTTTATGGCAACGATGTTTTGCATCAGCCTGAGGCATCTGCAGCAGTTAATGTATTTGTTTTGTTTACGGCCTCAAGTTGTGTCTTCCACCGCAAGTGCATAGCTGCCGACCTTTGTGCACAAACTTATAGCTACTCTGATTACGTGCGAGGTCCACACGTCTTGAGGCTCAGTGTGCTGGCGCCGGCTGCAGAGCTTCTCATCACAAGAAGGCCACCGGTGCATATCTTGGTTCTGACTACGGAGCAGCGTGAAACATATTAGAACTGCGTGCGATATTGTTCATTCTTTAAATAAGATGTGCAAATATGTAAATAAATGTGCCTTGATACCTATATTGAAACTATAACCTATGCCGAGTGAGGTGGCTTATGGAAGGAGGTGACGCTAAATGAAATACTGAAGTTCATTGGACACCTGATTTATAGAGGGGTGATTCACATCACGGGCATCTATCTATATTGTAACACCTGCAGGTTCTTATTGCAAATAAAAACCAAAACTTTACTGAGAGAAGTGCACGAGTTCACTTTCTTTTCATGAAAAACCAAGCAATGCTTTATCACATGGCACGATCACTGAAGCAGCACATTGGATCTGATTTTTTTGTCTATGTGGATAGAACATTTTGTACAGCATTTATTATTTTTATACTGTTCTTGGGTCGTTTATTCTCAAAATTTATATTCAGAATTTTATTTGTTTTGAATATTTTTGTATATATAGTGCTTTTTATTGCACTGCTTACCAGCTGGCAACCGAAAATTACACATCTTTCACATTTTTATTCATTCCAGAATATATTTGTTGCTCTACAACGTATATTTTTTAAAAATAGCATTTTATTGTGCAAAATTTGATATGCTTCCCTGCGTGCTGGAGTACTTTTCAAACTAGCAAAAACTGTTTTCGCAACACATATGAAAAATAACCATATTCACACGGTAACAAAATAGTTAAGGAATACCAGGTGGTCATAATCTCCAAAGTCCTTCACTATGGCGTGCTTTATTATAATGTAGTAGATCTTTCAGTACATAAAACTCCAGATAATAAATTAAACTTTTCTTGCTCTAAATGCTCCTCTAACATTGAAAGTCACTTCAATGATTGTTTTATGTAGCTCCCAATTTGTGTGAGCAAGATTATTATTTACTTGGCACTTTACATTAGCGTAATTGAAATTCTAATCAAGAAACATCTGCGAGATCAGACCAACACATCGCATTGCCTGCGAGCAAAAACAATAAATTGTATTATGTTACTATCCTAAATCACAAAATTTTTAACATATTGTATTAAAGGCGCCCTGCAACACTTTGTGAGCATGGTCAGAAAACGCTGCCGATCGGTACCAGAGGCTCCCAAGAACACGCGAGCCAAATATTATAGTGCAGCACGCGGCCCGGAATTCGCATTAAATTATCAAAGTCAGCTGAAAATCGCTTTCTCTTCTCTTGACAAATGACAGAAGTCGCTCATAAATCACTTGTTGAATGCCATCTATTGGCCGATTTGAACTTGGCGCGCTCGGTTGTTACAGAGATCGCCGCAAGAGGCCGTAACTTGTCCACGCGCGCATGCGTGCGATCACGCTGAAAAAGCTGCCTATTCCAAGAAAAACAAAGAAAAAAAGTGCTCAAGGTCATGAGGCGCGCGTGACATATTTTCTTTGCCCCTGCCATCCCTCCCTGCGTAGCTTCCAGCACTTTCATCGGGACGAGAGAAGAGAGAATGAGATTGCAGCGTGCGACAAATCTTTGTAACTCCGCTCGTACTGGACGGATTCTTAAAGTTTTTGCTGTGTTGAATTCGTGAAACAAAAAAGCTCTTCCTGTGACTTCATTCTATGTTTACTTGAGTGTTCCAGGGCCCCTTTAAAGTGGTGTGAAAAAATGTGTAATTGAGTTTGTCTAGATTTTTTGTGGTGTATTCTGGAATAAGGCTAACATGAGTCGAGTGGGTCCCTGACATTATCATAGAGATTGTTTAAAGAATGGTGGTTTATCAGTGCAGCAAAATATTACGAGCAGTCTTAAGAACCATGTTGCACATTTTTTGGTAGATGCAAGGGAGTGTTAATATTTGGCCCCCATGTTTACAAAAATGGACTTAAGCCCAGGAATTCCTTATTCACCGACTCCAAAAAGGGGCTGTTGGGCTGATTTAAAATATTCTCACAGCAACTGCAAGCCATAGACTTGTGGAAGTAATGTGTTGAAAGTGTTCACATGATTAAAATGAGTTTCCTTTGTTATGCCAGTGAGGTCTGTCTAGCGTGTTGTTTGGATTAGCATCACAACTCTTTTCCAATTTTCAGTGGTTTGCAGGGGCTACTTCGGAGGAATGGGAGATTTTGTCGGCTCAGTTCAAGAGGGTGCTGAGTATCGATGCAGGCCATAGCGTGTCCCCTGCTATCTTTATTCAGGAACTTGTCATGTGCCTTATTGGTTGCAAGAGCTATGTTGCTGTAAGCAACTGGAGGTACCTGTTCACGTGTTTTGCTTATACTGTCATGGTGAGTGCCATACATCTTTAGAATGGGTTCCTGACCTTAACATAGATATTGTGTAAGGAATGATAGTTTATCAGTGCAGCAAAATATTATGAGCAGTCTTAAGAATCATGTTGTGCATTTTTTGGTAGATACAAAGGAGCACAGAGTATAAAAAAAAATGAGAAAAAACTCTACATTGAAGCAGGTGGGAGTCAACCAATAATATAGCAATTCCAAGCAGAGCATTCTAACCACTACACCATGGTAACTTTGTGCAAAAACAGGCCAATAATGCTTCTAATAGTGCTGACAAAAATCAGTGGCTTTCTGTTGGGCTGATCTAGTACTCCCCACCACACAATTGACTGAGATGTAGGGCCCGTGACATTGATGAATGTGCACTGTTGCACACTTTTCCTTCGTCGCCATTAGTGTTTAGACTGTGCTGCAAATACTGTCGGTGAGGTTCTGAAAGAAGTGCCTAGAATACTAAAAAAAAGCATTTCATTTAAGCGCACCAAGTTTCGTGTTGCTTGCCTGTTTACTGTGGTGTTTAGGCATGAAGTATTGATTCAAGTCATTTTAAACTTGCAGTTGTGGGTTAAGTGCTGAATATATTTTTCTATTTTTCTTTTAAATAGCTCCTATCGGGGGGCTGGAGCGGTGGTATGAAAAGAGCCTAGAACAAGTCATGTCCAAACAGCGTACTGCTCTTCAGGCGGTAGTGTACTTCAAGTACACTACATGTTGTAGTTCACATCTTAGCTTGAAAACTTCAGGAATGCTTTTATGACAAGGCAATCGAGCAACAATGTGGCATGCTGTATTATGTTTTGGAACATAAAGGAGCAATAGTACACCAGGGATGAGAAATGTGCATAATTTTACAGTCATTAAATATAGGTGAGGCTCATTGTAGTGGGAAGACTAAAATAATGTGCTTCTTGCATGTGTAGAGCACAGAAGTTTTGGGTTGTAACAGTTCAATCTTGGTTGCAGGAGTGCCTGAAGAATACGAAGAAGCTTACGGAGGAAGAGCTGCGTGAAATTGTTCTGGCTCTTGTATTTGCTCTGTCAAGTCTGCCGAGCCAGTGCCTGAAGCAAGAGTTATTGCTACTTGTTGACGTGGCTCAGTGTAAAAAGACTTCAGTTTTTGGAAAGGAACTGGTGAAAATATTTCGGGAGGCACTTGCAACACAGTGTATTCAAAGTGAGTTGGTGTCGAGAGTGGTGAAAGCATCAGTGCACAAGCTGCTTGCCCACCAAGGGGTGACTAGTAATAGTGATGCTTTAGTGTAATTTTCAGTGTGTTTACATTTGTATATAGGTTAAGCGTTGTCATAAATAAAAATCCAGAATATGTGTCTGTATTTTTTCTCAACAATAGCATTTGCCTTTTTTTATCACAGTAATAACATAACACATATATCACTAATTGAGAACTTTGGAAGCTTACAATGGAATCAGCTTGCACAGATTATGGTAAATTGGAGATCATTGGGAGAGTGGCTAAAAATAGCCTAATAGTGATAATATTTATTTATTTATTCATAATACCCTACAGGCCCCGAAGAGCATGGAGTAGGGGGGTAGAGAAAATTCAGCATAAATAAAGCATAAAAAAACTGCACCAAGGAAAAAAAAGAAAAAATTATACAATTGAAGAGAAAAGAACAAGCACTATAATACATTGTAGTAAAACATCTGTATACAAAAATCAAGGGAATACATGACGAGGTAAAATACCCTTCCTGCTTGTAATCCTTAGGATGACAGTATTTTTTCTGGAAACAGAATCAAGAGGGATAATGTGAATACTGCAGTTTTTAATATATACTTAGAAAGGGCCCTGCAACATTTTTTCAGCATGGTTAGAAAACGCTGCCATTTCGGTAGTTTAGGCTGCTGAGAACATGTGAGTCAAACATTATAGAGCAATACACGGCCTGGAACTTGCAATTTATTCTCAATGTTGGCTAGAAATTGCGGGCTATGCTCTTGACAAATAATACTAGGGGTGTGCGAATATTCAATATTTCAAATGTTTTTCTATTAGTGTTTCCTATTCGATTCTATTTGCACTTGAATTTTACTATTCAAACTTCCGAAAGACAAATATAGTTAACGTAAATTGACTCTTTCAGATTGTCGATATGCTTAACTTCACACTGTAGTATTGCAGCAAAGCTGCCTTTTTGGCTCCACTATGGTCGAACTTTCTAAAAACACAGTCGGCATTCAATTAAAAAAAGCTCCTTCAAATTTGTTTTTAATATGCTTCACCTCATCACATTTTTGTACTGTGGCAAAGCTGCTTTTGAAGCTCCATTACGGCAAAAAATGTATTGACTTAAGAAAATGCTGGTTCCAACATGGAGGTGACAGATATGGCAGAAGAGGGGTTCAGTGAATGCTGTTTTATACTTGAAATTCGGGTAGCGTAATCTGAAAAATTGGACGCTGAAGATTTTTAGCATCAAAAATTTTAGGTCTTCTTATATACAGTAAATTTATTAAGCGACATTAGAAGGCACTAAGAAAATGTGTTCAATTTAACAGGAGTTATATTTACTGGGAGGTGAAGAGGTGAACAAGAGTGCAGAATACAAGTATGAAACCAATCTTGTCAGAAGCACTTGTTACCTTTGAGCAAGAGCTTCGTTCAAGAGATTTTCGTTTACCGAAAGTCTACTATATTAATGTCTACGAGGCAGATTTAGAACACTGCATCAAGAAAGCACACCTTTATCTGCCACATCAGTTGGGCTTCCACAGAAGTTGACAAAGGAGGAAAGGCTGAGGAAATAGCATCTTTGCCTTTCACATGTGAAGTGTTGTAGGCAACACTTTGGCTGTCCAAAATCATGTACAGAGGAATCTACTGTTAAAAAGAACATTGAAGGTGTGTCTGCTCGGCACCACCACTGGCCGGCTGTGGTAACTAGTTTCGCGCAGGAGCAGTGAACGCTGTGGGCGGCACTCGTTTGTCATCTGCTACAGTTGCAGCCGCGCTTTTGCTTGTTGTGAAGCCAGCCGTCCCTACGCTTAGAAATTTGTGCGCAGGCTGCGTGGTCACACTCGCATGGAAAGCAATGCTGAAAGGAAATTAGATTATGTAAAATACTACTTCATTGATATTTTATGGGGCTAAAGAAACATTTAAGGGGAGATGCTACTCGAAGACACTTTTGTTTTAATATTCACCTTAGAGCAATAAAACTTGAGCTGCTTATGGAAATTTCTATGCTGATTTCAAATATATAATTAGTTTGCTTGCAAGTTACACACTTTTAGCTCTGCAACATGACAAAGTGAAAACCCTAACCCTTTTGCTTCCCCTCTTTTCATACCTAAACTTCTGTAATTTTTCACCATTCATAGTTCATAATGCTTCAAATAAAGTGTAGAGTGCTAATAACTAATTAGAAAGCACATACAAAATATGTAATATGCGTGAAAAATAATAGACGTAAAAAGTTTATATTTCACCTAACCTAGTAAAGGTATGTATACAATTTTTTTATTATATAATATAACATTGAAATCTAAACCAGATAATTGCATTTGTCATACTTTGGAAAAGATTTGGGCAAAGTTTCATGCAGATCCGAGCACTAGAAATGCCCAAAAAAGGAGGGGCACATTGGAAAAAATGGCAAAATTTGCGTTTTGAGAAAAACGAGTTTTAAAGTTAAAATTGAGTTTTTATTTATCAAAAATATCATTAAATCAGATGAAATTTGTACACCAAAAAGAACAATCCCTCTTGTAGTGGCCACTACGACTAAAATACGCCAGCACCATGAGTTTGTCTCTCTCGGCTTTTTCGAGCCCACTCCTCACAGACATTTCGCTCACAGACAGGGCCATGAAACGCTTGCCAAACTACCGCTCCATCTGGCAGAGCCTTGTGCCGACTGCAAGCGAATAAAAAGTTCAACAGGACTGCGAAATACAAAGTCCAGTGTCGTGCCATTTTGCAGCCATGTTTGTGCCACATACCATCGTACATAATGGCAATGTCGTCCCTGCTAAGTTCTCTCACTTCGAGCTCTTTCGACCTCTCAAGATTAGCGCTGATGTCATCCATTGCCACATCACGAACTTTCCGGCTGACGGGTGTGAATGACTTTTGATGCATTGGCTTTTGCAAGCCAACAACTGCCGCAAATCAGACCAGCTGCTTGTAGCCTACTCCTACAATGCGCGCTGCACAACGGCTTTCACTTGCGAGCAATGCTTTTTTTCATTCATAACAGAGATAATTACATGAGAAAAGCATTGTTCAGCTGCGCTGCTCGACAAGACATGGACCCCGCAAATAGATTTCACAGCACATACAGGCGCGCAGCGGCCAATGGCGGTCCCCAATTCGTACCATGTGGTAAGCCAGTCGCGGCGCTCGAAAAACGTGCAGAAGAGTGCTTCTTTTTATTATTTCTTGCGCTTCATCAGCGAGAGGAAGTGTTGTTATTTGAACAGTGAGGCTCGACTTTTCGACTCATGCGATCAACAATGGCGAGCGGCGGTGCATTATCGGCGGCAAGGTACTCGAAGACTGCACACTTTCGACCTTTTAATAGGCACCTTGTGCTCTTTAGATGCAATTTTAAAGCATTTCCAGTTAAGTCTCGACCTGTATTATTTTTTTCATAATAGTAGGGGTACTAATCTTATCAAAATAGGCGAAAATAAAAAATCTGTAATTTTGAAAAAAAACACGTTTTTCTACCCGCATCTCTCCTTAATCTCTTTACGGACATCTTTTTGTTACATAGCTATCGTTAAAAAAAATACTTTTCCTTGCGGAGCATGTACTTCATTTGCACCAATGCAGATTCGAGCTGCTACAGTGCGTAAGGTGAACAAAAAATTTACAAGCGCCTTTAACTAGCACCACCAGAGAGCTTTCTCAAAGCGGGAAGTTCTTTATCTAATGAGAAGGCCAACAAAAGATGACGATCCGGCTGATGTGTCAGGTGACATTTATCTGATTATAAATAATTCCCATAATTTTTCTTGTAGCTCGAAGGAAAGCGACTATTTTTAAGATTTTGCGACCTCAGCCGCACTTTGCAATGAGCTGAACCACGGCCTCATCTGTAGGAGATGACAAACGAACGCTGCCCACAGTGCTCATGCAAGAAACTAGGTGCCACAGCCGGCTGGCGGTGGCATGGAGCAGAGGATACGTGTTCCAGTATTCACTTTAACAGTGGACACCCCTGTCGATAAATACAATTTGGCCTCTGCATTGCCTCGTTCTTAGTAACTAGAAAGCACCACCTGCCTAGTGTATCACCAACCTAGCCAAAAAAAGTACTTCATGTTGCTATCTCATAAGAATATGCTAGGGAATCCTGTCCAACTTATTTTACTGCAATTTCGCTTTGAAGTATTGTAAAATATTCTAGAAATATCTGAAAAATATTCTATTTGATTTACACTCACACTTAAATATTGGCATTCACTTTGCACCCAGAATTTCGCTATTCACACAGCTCTAAATGATTCCACAAACCCAAATGACTACACCATCAACACAAAGTCCACAACCATTGTTTGATTTGAACATCTTGAGCTGCATACCTAGTTACTGCGACTGTCACTAGATGCTGAAATGTGTCTGCACGCTCACTCGCTATGAGCCTGAAAGTAAGGTGCTTGTTTGAAGAAAGAAAAGGAAGTATTCAAAATCGTGCTAATGAATGGGTGTAGCTTCTTGCTTCCTTGTCACCCCCCCATGCCCACGTAGCCTTCAGTGTGCTTGCTGGTATGAAAAGAAAAAGAAAGCGCTTGAAGCATAGGATTAATTCCTGTAGGTACGCTCATACTTGATGGATTCTAAAAATTTTCGTGGCAGTCAGTCTGTGAGGCCACAAACTCCTTCAATTAAGCCATTCAGTGATTGCTTCAAAAAGTGTTGCAACTGACCCTTCAAGGTCAGTTCCAACCAAAAATACCCCTACAATTACTGAAAAGTCTGTCTGCTACAGCAGTGGCCAGACTGTTCACCACTAAACAGGCAGACATAAATGGCACATTCTGAAGGCACTCTGTGAAATACTGTTTAGATGGAAGACTTGTACCAGCCACTATCTTTACTTTTGACTCTGGGTCAGCAAACCAGTCGGCCATAAGTTTTTTATGCCATCTTTAGTAACTTGCATGACATGCATATGCTCTAGTCAAGCAGCAAAGCAACAGCTGCAATGTTAACATGAGCTATCTAGAAACAGTTGCCCTGCAGTACTGGTCATATCGATCAATGAATAATTTATTAATTAGATACTTATATTCTGTAAAACAGTTAATTATCATATATATCTATCCTTCAATTGATCTATTAAAACTTTGA